CTATCGTGGACTATGAAGTGGATGGAGAAAAGAAGGCAAAGAGGATAGAAGTAGTCAAACGATGACATTTTACGGGAACTGACTGGGACGGGTTTCAATATGCTTACAGAAGAGCAACTGAAAATAAAAATTAAGTTGGATCCTCTGTAACTAATTCTCTTAAGAGTAGTCGAAGCACCCAGTTTTTCTTTCCGACTGATCCACTCCACTTTTTGCGAATACTCCGGTTATTAATTTTAATAGTGAGGCCAAAGTTTTAAACGCGAAAACGTGTACGTCAGACGTTCAGCGCCGCTTTTCTGTAAGCCTAGAAGTTTGACAATGGTGTTTGGAATGTCGAGCACGATTCCACTGACCATCCAAACACCATTGTCAAACTTCTAGGCTTACAGAAAAGCGGCGCTGAACGTCTGACGTACATGTTTTCGCGTTTAAAATTTCGGCCTCAGCCTCACTAATATCATTCAACATTCGTTATTCTAATTCGGCACACGTAAAATAAATCAAATGTCGCAAAATAACGATTGACGAGATATATGATCTCTGCCGAATCTTGACGACTATACTCGCGGCGAGTAAATCAAGAATAGCATAAAATCTCGCGTGACAAGCTAGTAGCGATTTAGTTGCTGCTACTAATAGCGGCGAGTAAAGTCACCTCGTATGACATGGGATTAGCATTGATTTCTAGAGCAGAAAAAAAACATTTCACGATACGGAAACGTTTTCCTTATTATATAACAGGTTTTCTGCTTCAACATTTTGTTATTCATTTCTTTTATTACTTAACATTCAATAGATAAACCATGAAGAAAACCTATGCTGCTCCTGAATGTAATGGATCAAACAGGAAGCTTTTCAAAATTGTAAAGAACAGTGGCACGTTATAGCTTCACGGGGTCCAGGCAAATTTAAATTAGGGGTCCCATGTAGTGTTGACTTCATACATTTTTTCCGAGGTAACTTTTGGGGGGAATCTGCAATTATCTTGCTCGCGCACCTTTAGTGATTGGTTTATGGCAGGTTCATGGTGATGATCACGATAGAATTTGGAGATTAGGGAATTCCATAAAAGACAAAAATGTTGGAATATACACTTTTTGCGGGGTGTGCGAAAAATTTTAGTCATTCTTAAGGTTGAAGGGCTAGAGGTTATATGGGTGTTCCAGAAATTGCAAATATTTTGGGATAAAACATAAAAAGGAAAATTACTTTTGTGGAAGTGTTTCTCAAGCCAGGTCGCTTGACAGCAAATGCAGTTGGAGTACATAAGGAGCAAGTTGAAAAATGTGGACGACTGCAATTATTCAACAAAGTGAAATTGATTCACCATTATCAATTGTTACAGAAAACAATTCCATTACTTGTGAAAAAGAATCGAGTTCTTGAAAATGATAAGAGGAAAGCATTGAAAAATATTTCAATGAACCACTAGCAGACATCATCAGAATATACCTTGCACGTAGAAAATAATTTAACTAACAAAGATATTTCCGACTGTTTGGAAGAACGCACAACTGTAAATGAGGATATCAAAAACTAAAAATTTTCCTTCCTTGTATCAAAATTTGTTGACAGAGATCAAATGGCTTTCCTAATCGCCACTGTTGTCATGATTGATTCATTATTTTTAATTTTATTGCCTATTACTCATAAGGATGGATTATTTTGCTTAGCTTTCCATTTTTTCATGATTCATCCCGTTGGCGCCCAAAACGACTTATAGGAGAGCCCTTCCGTGCTTGGAACAAGGCATTAGCAGAACTTAAATCACACGCTGTTTGTGATTATCACAAAAATTCGCATTATAAATTTTTTTTTTATTCTTACAATACTCCCGCGGAAAGGTTAGATATGCAATTGAGTTAGCGTAATTTACTTTTGTTAGGAAAATAAGTGTTTTAATTAAAATCTAGTAAAAGTGTTTAATATTTTGTGGAAGAAGGCATCACATTACAAGGGAACAGAGATGATTCAATGTTATCGAATTTCGATCAAGGAAATTTTAAGATCCTTTTTAACTTTTAGGGAACATTCCGGTTCTCATTTCGTCACTTGCAAGAAAACTACATTTGCCTAGGATATGTTTATCCCATAACAGGGATATGTTTGGATTGGATATGTTTATCCCTGTTATGGGATAAACATATCCAATCATCCCACTAATGAAAATTTCTAAACATTTTCCAATGCTGCAGACCGGTATAATAGTCGAGCAGACACCTTAAAAAATATATACATTTTATTTGATATTTCTCAATTTCTACCGTAGCCATTACTTGAACTTTTTTAAAATGACTATCAAGAACATATTCCAAAAGAGATAATACTTACTCTGCTATGATGGTACAGTACTTCATTTGCCTAATTCATAGTACAATAGAACATCGATTCTTTCAATAATCTGGGCGGGATAATTTCGGTTAACCAATCATATTTGGTAGAGAAAAAATAAACTTTATTTTAAAAAAATGCAATAGTAGTAAAATTAATATTAAATTAAGTAAAACATTCAGTAAAAATCATTTATTACAGTTTTTTAACAAGTTCCTTATTGTTTTACATAGTTTGTTCTTTTTAACTTTGTTTTATCCATGGCTTGAGATCGGGCAAGATCGTCATGAAAGTTGAAAAATTGCTTCATGTTACATATCTAAACATATCAAATGTTTCACTCACTGTACCTATACAGTGAAGCATTTGATGCATTATAAGCTCGTTTAAGCCTGTAAGCATTTAAAAATGCATTGTAATAAAACCTAACACTAGCGTATATAATATAGTTTGAGCAAGACGTATTTTACATTATAAAAACGTCCATCGTAACTTTATGCACACTATCAATACAAGCATAATAAAAATTTTACGTTATAATGTCATCAGATTTTTCTGATGCCATTTACTATAATATAGTGTAGAAATACTTTTTGGATACAATTTTCATTTAATTTTTGAACGAGGCGGTAAAGACATCATTCTTCTCCAGAACAGTAGAGTGACGCCTTGTATGGATTCATTTTTCTAATAAAGGCAAGTTCTTTCATACAGGTATAACTGGCAAGCAATGATAACGTGAAAGTTGGAAGTTGATATACGAATAGATATGACGACTAATTTTACCTTCAGACACTGTTATACCCTTTCGATTGGTTTATAATGAAACCTTTTCCATTTTAAACTAATCAAAGATGTAACAGCGTCTACAATGGACATAAATTTTCTTTCGGTTTTCATCTTATACATTATCTATATATATAAAAATGAATGTGTCCTTCATGCATTACCACACCGTTTACCCGATTGCCATGAAACTTTGGGAAGTTGCTTAATATACTCCCGCAAAGGTTTCTGGCATAGTACATTTATGCTACGATGCGCGTGTATACGAGCATTTCATCGTGAATTCAATCGATTTCAAATTGTGAAGACCATTTCCCCCGTTCAAAAAAATATCTCTATATATGCATTTGTGAACTGTTATTTACGATATTTATAATAATTTTTGTTTAATCACTTTATTTCAACTATTTTTTGCTAATTATGTATTCGCTCGAACTTTGTTAAAACCTTAACTGTATCCCGAACAACAACCGAAGTTGTAGGAGGAAATTCGCCTATTTTACCGATCTAGGGATCTCCTTTTCCAAATTTTAATATCAACTCAAAATAATTTAAAAAGACAAATTACAATAAAACCGTTTATTATCCAACTATCAGAAATTTCACAACATGCCAAGGAAGAGAGGAAGGAGCAATTAAATAATTAAAATTATAAAGGATTTAAAAATATATATAAAAATGGGGAATATCGCACTTCTGACAATCGCTGCAAGTGTGTGGGCTAGATTTGGAGAATCCGTGCTTCTCACATGGACAACTGTATGTGGCCAGCTCATGCGTCGGAAAACCTGATTTATTCGTGTACGCACCAGACAGAAAAACAAAAAATACCGTGTATCCACAAGCACTCCAATAAATAAATAGAATTGAAACGACACTTTGAAATGTTTTCCCGATGAAAATTAATAATAATATAATATTAATAAGTTTCAATAAAAATGATAAAATTTAAATTGAATATTATAACGAGTTTGTTTGAATTTCGTTTCTTCTGAATCGCAGCAATGCGCGATGGGTAACCTAATTACATATATTTACATTCAATCAGTGACAATTTAATTTAAATAATTCTACAAATAAGTTTAACGATCGTCACATTGCTGTGTTATTGCGATTCCTTTTGTATTTTTTTTTTTTGTTCAATGTAAGAGAAAATTTAATTTATTTAATTTAAAAATTTTAATGAAATTATATAATCTCATTCGTTAAAATGCATGATAATTTGTTTTGCTATTTAGAATTTTTGCTCTATCAACTAGTTTCTTACAACAAATTACTCTTGTAAAGTACAGTACTAAGATATTTTTTTAAATACGCAATTCTTTCTACAGATCATAGTAAAATTGCTTTTACAGAATGAACTAAACTCTCGTCCGTAACAACTTGAAAATTTAAGATAATTTTCTGCATATCTGGAAAGATTTATTTATAAAATAAAATAAAATTTGTTCTACTATAAATGTTGTCATTTCATTAATATTTTTATTTACTGTGTTTCGATGTTCACTTTCACAATGAAATATTTTTAAATACGAAATTATTAGAGAAAAAGACAAACTACAAATTTTGAATAATAAATTGTGCAATAAATTTATTAAACAATATTTCATATTTTTCTTTTTTAATATAAAAACACATTATCCATTGGTCATTTTCAGAGTGAACAAATAAATTGCTTTATTAATAAAAAAAAAAGCTACATTATTCTAAATATAAGAATAATCTATTATGAATTTTAAGATAATGTAAATTCTAAAATGATTATCATTATTTAGATAAAATGTATTATTTACATTATTATTTAGCCTTTTTTTATAGCTAAATATTAAATAAATATTTATAGTAATATACAACAACGTGAAACTACTTTGAAGAAATTATTTTTTTCTTTTGATGAAATGTTTTTATTTTTACTGTAGAAAAACATGACAGTGAAGTCTTACATTACATTAAATTACACAATGACTTTTATGTTTTATGATCTAAAAGTTTTTATAAGAAGTCAAATTCATCTGGTGCATCGAGGTCTCTGTATGTGATGATTTTTCGGGGCTCCGAACGAGGACTTCTTCTGGAAATGGAAAGATGCAAATACTCACATTACAGTACACGTTCCTTTCTTACAGTAACATCAATGTTATTATGCCGCTTTTTAAAATTAGTAATTAGATATTTTTCCCATTCATAATCAAGTCTGCATACGCTGTTTGAGTAGCATTTATGATAGCAGAAATGCCTATCGAAATCTCAATATATACAAAATCAAGGTACGAATTAAAATATCTCCACGTCCTGTGGGTTATCCAGATCGTGATAGGCGATCACTTCTCGAGGATCAGGGCAACTGAAAGAAAATGAAGCAAAGGGCTTTCTGGCATGCTGTGTTAAAATGCTTGGAAATAATTCTTTGACAAACAAGTTAAAGGAAAGCAATAAAGCAGTAATAAAATCTTCCCACTTATGATAAATGTATTTCATAAAAGAAATAGATTTATCTAATTAAGTCTACATCAGACAGGAAAAGAAATTACAGTACATATAAACACAAAAATGTGTTTAACCCATTCCCGTGGAGTTTTTGTAAATCAGACTAAAATAATTTTTAACACCATAGAAGTATGGTTTCACTATACATGTACGTTGCATATTGAGGAATGGATTAATTTTTAAACAAAAAATAACGCAACCTCGGTGAAATAATGCAAATTACATAACTTACCGACCATAACTATTTCTTTTGCTATAGCCACTGCGAGAATATGACTCAAAACTATTTCTTCCTCCAAATCCTGGATTACCATATCCTGTATAGAAAATTTAATAAATAGTTAATTATTAGAGAGAATAACAAAACACAATTAACCCGATGATTTAACCTTGAAATCCAGGTCCACCAGGTCCCCTGTAATTACTACCATAAGGTGGTGGCATTGGAGGATATCCTCCTGCTCCACCATGATATGGCCCCATCATTGGATGTATATCTCGTCCAATATTTGATCCAGGTCCCATAGAACGATTGGAAGGATGTTCAGGAAGTTGTGGTCTTTTTGGATCTAACAAATAGTTGTTGAAATATTCAACCTAAAAAATAAGAAATTATTATAAAGGAGAAAAATTATTAATTATGAAACTATAATATAAAACCACAAGAAACACTTGACAGGTTGACAAAATAATGAAATTAAAAATTATAAATTCAGTGTTTTCATAAAAGAATTCTTTTGCCCTAATCTGAAATAATGTAACCAAAAGAGAAACGTTTTTTAAGTTCAAACAACAGATATCTTAGACAGGCAATGCATGGTACTCAGTTGGAACTCTGGAAGTTTTACAAAGTTCAAGAACTCTTTCTTGGTAATGCATAGTGCATAGCAGATTTATTAAACAATCTGTTCCCTTCATTAAGTAAATAGGCTGCTACAGGCATGGCTAATATATGGCCCGCGGGCCGAATCTGGCCCATCTAATGAATCTATGCGGCCCGTGATTAATCTTTCAATATTAGCTACTCAAGTCCGAATAGTTTTATAAAAATTCTGATGCTTAAAAAAAGAAAAAAAAAAGTCAACGACTCACTGTGTGCTTAAAGCTAACGTTCAATTACAAATCTCTTAAGTACAGCATAGAATGTTGATAATGCACGATAATGTGAGAAATGTATCTTTAATCTCTATGTACAATTTAGTCTGTACGAGGTAGCACCACAAAGATCTCACACTACCTCAAAATCTTCCTAGGGCAGCTTCTGGTTCGACCCGTGAAAAAAGTTTTCTTTCCAATTCAGCCCGGGAGCAAAAACTACTGGCCACCTCTGGGTTGGTCCCTACTACTGTGCATTTTTATAGCCATGTCAAAGTTGGTGAAATAAGCTGTAAATCAAAATACTGAAGTATTTTACTGGCTAGTTTCACCAACTTTTATTAAAACAAAAATTAACAGAAGAATTTTAAACTTGTTGAAAATATTATTTCATTAGAAAGCTCCAGCATTCTTCAATTCATTTTAACATGCCATTTTTTAACAGCTTCTCAATATTGTATTAGAAGATATGAATGATTCTTTAATAATTTTGCCACAATTCTTTGATATCAAATGCCTTGTGTGACTATCTGAGTATATATAATATGAATGAACCAAAATTGAAATAACCAAGAATTCCAAATTATACAAATGTAAAGAAAAATGCTTTTGTTGATTTAATTTGAAAATATAAACTTATAATTGAAATTATATGAAATAATGGTGTGACAATTAAATGAAAAGAATAAACATGAAAAAAATTTACAACTGATTTTAATTAAAATACATGTAAATACAAATATTAAAAAAAATAGTGAACTGTCAATTTGTGGTATGATGAAAAGGTATTATGTATAAGATATAGGACAAGTAAACAATAAGTGTTAAACTCAATAAAAATAAAAAAAGACAGATAAAATAGAAAAAGGTGTCAGAGCAGATGTTGCTTTTAAGAATACTGGAATTCAAGAAGAAATTAGCAGATCTTGGAGCTTAAGTAACAGGATCAATGAAAGAATCAATAGAAAGGTAAAGGTAATTATCCTAGATCTAAAATACACTATGAAGATTTGATATTTAATACTTTCCTGAATGTAAAATATTCAGTTTATTTAACACTGAAGATAAAACAAAATCTACATCAGCTTCCAACAGTTTATTTATTTTACATTATTAACAATGTTATAAAATTTTTTTTGAAAATATTTAGAAAGGAACCTAAGAAATTTTGACTTCAATTGTGTTAAAGCAAAATCTTAAGTATAGAATAAAATAAGGACCTCTAATAATATTCAATATTAAATGCACAGAATGATCACAATTAAAGTACCAATACAATATGTCCAAACTCAACCAAATTTTGTATGCAGACATTTAATTCCAAAAATTCACTACTATGGGACTTTGTGGTACTAAAAACAATGAAAAACTTTGGAACAATTTCATAAAATGTCATAAGTCTCAAAGTGCACTTGTATCATTGGCATTGTTTTCATTAAATAGCTTCAAGAGAAGAGCATGTTCAAGCATAGTCATGACCATGCTTGAACATGCTCTTCTCTTGAAGCTGATCTGCCATAATATGAGTAGCATTTCACATATTATATGAAGTTTTATACCCAGAAACTGATCATAGCACAGGGGTAGCCAACAGTTTTGCCCCGGGCCGAATTGGAAAGAAAACTTTTTTCATGGGCCGAACCAGAGGCTGCCCTAAGAAGATTTTGAGGTGGTATGAGACCTCATTGTGGTGTCACCACGTAGAGACTAAATTGTACACAGAGATTACAAATACATTTTTCACATTATCATGCTTTATCAGCATTTTATGCTGTACTGTTTAAGAGATTTGTAATGGAGGGTTATCTCTAAAAGCACGTGAGTTGTTGACCTTTTTAATTTAGGCGTCAGAAGTTTTCATCAATTTTTGCAGGCCGCATAAATTCATTAGATGAGCCATATGTTGGCCATGCATGCTATAGCATGTGTGTGCTGCACATATTCTCTGTATTTATTTTCTGCTTGTAGAGCCACAGGTCTCAAAATGATGAGTTTTAGAAGTACATTTTTTTCCAGTGGAAATCTTAGCATTCAAAATTTGCTTAATTGAACTACTATGTAATTTGTATAATGTTGGATTATTTTTCCTCCAGCCAGTGTTGAATAGGAAAAAAGGAACACTAACTGCAATATGAATGATTGTATAATATATTATATTAATGTCAACCTCAAAACTAAAAAAAATGCATTCCTCTTGACAAAATCTAAATTCTCTACTGGATGCACTTTCAAATGTACTAAAAACACACTGATAGTATTCAGACTATTTAATAATAATATTCGAAAATTAATAATTTACCTCTTTTTTCACTTCTTCCACTTTTTCTGAATGTTTATTAAATATGTGTTTTCGAACAAATTCTGGGCCTTTAAATTTTTTTCCCGATAATGGACATAACCACTTATCTTTTGCTAATTCTTGAGTGTTAGCTTGAACAAATTTCTCTACTTCGCTAAACTATATTAAGGATATAACAACCATATTTTAAAATTTGAGATTTGAAAGTTTTCATAAAACACTTCAAAATTAATTTGAAAATTTTTTCATATAACATATAAATTACTTATTTCATTAAATTATAACATTATAAATTATGGAATTTATACATTTTCTTTTACAAAATTGATATACTCAACAGAAACCAGTTTATATTTCTATAATAATAATTAATAACACACTTTTAATAATGCACTTCTGTAAATTGGAAAAATTGATTAACTGATTAATTCTCTAATTTATTCCTTTTTTTTTTATTTGCCATGCCTTATCATAAATGTAATATCAGCAGTATAGTATGCAAATTGTTAACTATATTACTGCAACTGTTTGTTAAGAACTATATTAACTGCTTGGTAATCAGAAAATAATGTATTAAGTATTTTATAATTTTAAAACCAGATGTGATAGTAACTTATAGGCAGTAAAATCTATCTATCAAATCAGAATTGTATTTATGTTATGTTCTCAGAAATTAACTAGGAGTTTGAGTTGATGTAATACATTATAAATTTTTCCATTTAAAGTAACAGAAAATAAACTCCTGGTTAACATTTTCCTGAAGGACATCTAATTTTCAGGAATAGATTAATGATGTAAGCAAAAATGCCCATGCATATAGCATATATATTGTAATATAAATTTGTCTGATTTTAACTATACAGTGGTACCTCGGTATACATCTGTTTTAGAATAAACCCAATTCGGAATAAGTCCTGTTTGAACGAAACAAATTTTGCCCCATCTATGAACAAGTAGCATTATCGGTGTACTAGACCAGACTAGACGTTTGCGGTGCAACAGTTTATAACTTTGTTAAATTTCTTCTGATTTTAATTTGTATGTAAAATTTTATTATTTTTATTAATCATGAATTGCAAAAAGCAACAGAAAACTAAAAAAATGACTAGAATCACAATGAAACTGAAAAAAGAAATTGTTGAGAAACATGAATGCATGTTTGAGATTTTAACTGTTGCATACCGTATTCTGAGAACAACGATATTGACAATCATGAAAAATAAAGACATTATTAAATCTGCTAAGGTTGCAAAAGGGGTTAAATAAATTTCTAAACAGAGATCAAAGACATTAGATCATGTTGAGAAATTGCTTTTGCTTTGGATAACTGAAAAACAGTGTGATAGAGACAGCATATCAGAAGCAATTATTTGCTAGAAAGATAAAAAGATACATGCTGATCTCATGAAAACACAAGCAGGAACTAGCGAGGAAAGTGAGGTGTTTAAAGCCAGCCATTTTTTTTACGTGAGAACGGATTAATCATTTTTACATTACTTCTTATGGGAAAGGTTGGTTTGGTATACGTCCAATCATCAGGAACGGATTAATATTGTATACCGAGGTTTCACTGTATTAGTAAGCTATTTATTTGTGTTGTTGACCTGAAAATTGCAAAAGATATTCAAAATTGCACTTTTCAAGTTAACAATGCAAATAAATAAACTTACTAAACACAATTCATGACAAATAATCAATGTTATAAGATATGAGACATTCAAAAATATCTTCATATAATAATGATTATTTACAATGAATCATATTCATGACTTGTCTATAAACAAAATGTTAATCTATATTTTAATTTCTCAACAAATGTTTAAAACTTTTATCTTTCTAAAACGTTCTACTGTTAGATAAGACATAACTAGCTTGCATTTTTCTATTGTTGATTTTCTTAAATCTATTTCTTTAGCATTTTATTTATTTGTAAAACTTAAAACTGTTTACTTAAATGGCAAATTAATTTTACAAATTTGTTTCAGCAATTAATCTTTTATTGCATATAACAGAGAAACTTTTTCTGCATGTAATTACTAAAAATATTAGTGTTTTTCATTTCCATTCATGTCTTTGCCTTCTCTTAGCTGTTGTTTTGTCAGCAATTTATGTTAAATATTGTATAAAATATTAAAATATCTAACTTAATCTACTGTTAAAATATTTCAGAATAATTGCAAAAGTGAATTTCTATCATTAACTGTTTAACATTTGAATTAAGAATTTCCTAATTTTTTAAAGGCATGTTTGAATTAAATATTCAATACTATTTTCAGCAATCAGATTGAGTGAAAAGCATTTTTATAAATTCATTTAATTTCTCATTGCACAAAATTACTGTAATATAAAATCAACAGAAACAATGACTTAAAACTAGTTCTTTAATTTGTCAATTATATTAAATTCATTTTCATTATAATATCTGAAATGCTACAAGCAATTATTTATAGCAACATTATCACAATGCTGGGCTGCAATTTTTAATCATATTTTTTATTTATTTAATTTAAAATATACGCTCTCCATCTCAAATTAGTAGTGGCTTGTCCCTGTGCATCATACTTTTCCTTTAACAATAGAGTCGTGCCGGTCAACTATCTAACACCTTTCAGGGGAAAATTTTTGAATTGAAACAACATGACTTCCGGTTTGCAATGGAATTTCATATATAGTTAATCAGGACCACCTGTCCCTAAGGTTTTCATATCTGGTCTTGTCTTTCATCTATCTAACCCCAATCTCAAGATTAAGAAAAGAAATAGACAGATGGATGAACAACAGTGGAATTTATAGATCTACAATTTTTTCAAATTGAAGTCCAATTATAATAAAAAGGTCATTTAACACCATAAATAAAAATGATATCTTTATCAAAACACTGTTTAAGATATAATAATGTAACATTGGATCACAACTTGAAGATGACATATTTGTATTATTTCGTAGCAAATTTACTTTATTGTGATTACCAATTAATTATATGAAAACTAATACAGTAGAGTCTCGATAACCCGGCAGTCCATATAACTCGGCCACGCCCTGGCAGGGCAAAAAAATCCTTAGTTAATTAATTTTCATCATAGACAGCTTTATGCCTCATAAAGTATTTTTCTGAGGTCTGTCTTATCAAGTAAATTACTGTACACAGTGTATTCATTAATTTTCATTTTCATGTAGTAAAGGCTCTATGCCTTCATAAAGGATGTACTTTTCCTTTGTTTAAGGGTATTTGGGCAGTTTATTCTCTGTTGTATTCTCAAGTAAACAATACATACAAGAAAATACTGTAATTACAGTACAGTATTTTCTGAGGAAACACTCATACTTATTTTTTTTTAACCCAATTCCCGATAACCCGGCATTTCCACAAACTCGGCCACCCTTCGGTCCACATTAGGCTGAGTTTTTGAGACTCTACTGTATAATCCTTCAATAACAAAATATCTGTACTAATATTTAAATAATAACTATGACATAAAAGTAAGAAGACTAATTACAATAAAACCTCTAAATATTGAATTTTAAAAATTCAAAACTTGGCCAGTTTGAATTATGGAAAGTTCTATATATAGCAGTATACATGAAAATAGAAAATGCTTTTATTCAAATGCAAAATATAAAGCAGTAGGAGTATAATTCTGTGATAAATATATCATAGAATTAAATAAATACCATGAATTTAAATATATTTATTTTAATCATTATTAGAACAATATATCAGGCTACAATGATTTAAATAAATATCATGAATTTAGGCACATGACAAAATTTTCTACGCTAAACTGAATTTATTCAAAAATCAAATTTTGCATAATACATTACAACAAATTTCAATATTTCTATTAGATATGGTAGGTTTACCATTAAACTAGAAACCCTGCTCACGAATAGATGGTATATCACAACAAATGAATTATGTCCATTTCATTTAAACAGATTCTCACTAGCTTGCTTATCCAGTTGTATTAAAGCCACTTTACCAGGAAATTTTCCAAACAGATTCACAGAAGTTAATAGGTTGTTTGGCCCCCAAAGCATTCAACTAGTTCAACTTAATGTTGAGTTACTTAAAATTTTGTTTGACTTTAGAAGTAAAAAACTACATTATATAGGGTATTTGCTAGAACCAATAAGGTTAAAATAAAGATCGAGGTTTTACTGTATAATCTTTCAAATATTAACATTATATTAATTAATAGAAAATAAACATAATGACTGTAAAAATAAAGTTTCTTCAAAATAAGGATACATTGCAGAGTCTTTTTTTCCAAGTTTGACAGCTTCTTCTTCACTAAGCTTTACTTGTGGTTGAAGAAAGGGTAAAATTTTTCCTTCAAAATGACTTACATAATCATTAACTAAAACATAAAGTAACATAAATATTTATTAATTAAACTTATAAATATGGCAACAAATAATCAAATAATTTTTTAATAATTTAAGTATATAAAAAAATTACTTTCTTGCTGTGTAACTTTGCTGGAAGGTGGTGAGCCACGAGCATGAATGATGCCACAACGATTAGGCATTTCATCTTCATTAGGATACTCACTATGATTATAATAATCAATTGAATGCACAATTCGTAAGTAGAACAGAAGTCGATCAAGTACCTGCATAAAAAATAACATAATATTAAAATACTTGATTAAAAAATTATTATTAAAACATGAATGTGTTACATAAAAGGAAAAATGTGACCGAGATAAATTTGTAATTATTACATTATAATAAATGTAAATAACAGACAGAGTTTATGTTTTGTAATATAAATTAAACAGATTAGATTAATATATACATATTATATTTTTAAACAAAAATCTAAATAATTCAGTTACAAATAACAAAGAATGGAAATAGAAAATCAATTAAGTATATGACTGTTCACAATTACTTTTATAAGAGTTTCATCCTTTTCCAAAGTACATCCACTTTCTTCTCCATCTCTATTTTCTTCTTGTTCTGACATTCCTAAAAGTTCTTCTTCTTCTGCATTGGCTTCTTCAATCAAATAGTCAGTTATATTTTTCAACAGAGGATTTTTTGATACTAATCCAAAATTCTAAAAGTAATAACAACGTAAGATACATTAGTTATTAAAAAAAAATTAATAATGAACTAAAACATGATAAAATTACTTGATCATGCATTTCTTTTGTTTCTGTATCTGTCCAGAGATTTCTTTGTTCGTCCATATTTTGAATAATTCGAGCAGCAAGTTTGATGTCAGATCTTACGACTTGTTTATGTGAAGCTATGCCATTAACAGATCTGATCCTACGACTAAGATCTCTGTTAACAATAGCACCTAATTCATAATCACGTAACTGTAAAGATAATCATCATTATAATTTTTAAAAAAGGATAACCACAATTAAAGTCTATGTACAGTACATAAATAGCACAAAATATAAATTTTTATGGTTAACAAAAAATTCATTTGTTTTTTAACACACAAATTGATACTCAAGTATTAAATCTTTTTCTGTAAAACTTGGAATTGTGCATATATGTTAACTATTTACTGGAAATACTTTTATTTTAATTTTTATTTTATCTTGCTTTGACAAAATCTGAAAACATGGCAAATCATAATAATGATTATAGTGATCAGATAATTTTGCAAAATGCTAGATCTATTAAAAACAAATGTTTCTCATTACTTACTTTATTTAATGGTTTTTACATCTTAACAGAAAGCTGAAAAATTCCATATACAAGGTGCATTCAAGTTATAACACCTCTGATCTTTTTTCTCAGGATTGGAAACAGATAGAAACATGCAGTTTATTTTAAAATAAGCATGCACTTGTTGTGAATGCGTGACAGAGATGGCAGCACTGTACTGCACACAGAACTTAGCAGCAATGGCAAGAGTGAGGACTGTTTTTGATACTTAAAATGGCAACATTTTCATTACAAGAACAGTGTGTAATCATTTGTTTTCTCCATTTGAGTGGTGTGACACTGACTGAAATTCATTGCCAGTTGAGTGAGACATGTGGTGATGGTGTCATGATGTGTCTAATGTGCATTCGTGGGTGCAAGAGTTCAAAGAAAGCAGAACGTCATGAGCCAACAAACAAAGACAACCTTGGCCTCACACCAGCTGATCTGATGACATGATCAAGCAAGTGGAGAAAGTTGTTTTGGAAGATTGTCGAATGAGTGTGGAACACATCACCTCCAAAGTTGACATTTTCATGGGATCTGTGCACACAATCCTGCATGAAGATCTGAAAATGCAAAAAGTGTCCTCCAGGTGGGTGCCACAAATGCTGACAGATGACCACAAGGCTGTGCGGGTGGCATGTTGCCAGCCGCAATCAATATTGATGCCTGATGACAGCGTGAATGGGATTTTCTTTTCATCAATTGTGACAATGGATGAGATATGGATGCCATTTTTCAATCCTGAAATGAAATGCCACTCAGCTCAATAGAAGCACACAAACTCAATGCCACCAAAAAAACTTTGGGTAAGCACCAGTGCTGAAAAAATGATGGTGGCCATGTTCTGGGGAAGCGATGGCATAATCCTTACTCAATGCATTCCAAAGGGCACTATGGTGACAGGTGCACATTGACAAACATATAAGAAATTAAATAAGGACAGTAAGGTAATAATAATAATCCTTCCAGCATTGCGTGAAAAATGACCAGAAAAGACTGCACATGTGCTCTTTCACCAAGACAATGCATCAGCACATCAGGTGAACACAACGCTGCAGTTTCTTTGTGACAACAACTTTGAAGTGATTTCTCATGCTCCCTACTCACCTGACCTGGCTCCTAGTGACTTTTGGATGTTTCCAATGATGAAAGACACTCTCCGTGATCACACATTCACTAGCCATGCTGCTATTGCATCAGTGGTTTTCCAGTGGTCAAACCAGACTCCTAAAGAAGCATTTGCAGCAGCCAGCGTTGATGATGTGAAAAATGTGTACGGCTTCAGGGAGATTACGTCGAGAAGTGACACAAGTTTCAAAGTTTTTGTGTGATTAGTTTATGAGAAAAAAAAAATCAGAGGTGTTATAACTTGAATGCATCATGTACTTATATAATTCCTAGACTTATTGTTTTTTGTTATTTATTATGTTGGGTTAAGTGGGTTATACTCTGTTGACACCAGTGGCTGTGTATTATGCCGGACCAAAGTCAAGCATAGAAACTAAAACAAAACTAAAATTGAATAAGTGTGTCAGTGTCAGTATTCAGGAATTTCCTAACAATATGGCATGTATTCAATACAGTGGCCTTCTGCAGTGTAATGCATGTATTTCTATTCAACTGTAATGTTTCCAGGCTTTTGTGTAGTGTGTATGGTATCACACCTGTACAGGAGAGAACGACAGGTACAATAAGCACCCTATCCATCCTCCACAGATGCCTTATTTCCTGGGCGAGTTCTGTGTATTTGATAATTTTTTAGTGCATGTATTTTGTTCATTGTGAGTGTTTGGAATGGCTATGTCTATAATGTATGTGATTTTATTGTGTTTGTAAATGAGTGTGATGTCTGGTTTGTTGTGGTAAATTGTTTTATCTGTGACTACGGCTGTGTCATAGTACATTTTGTGCATGTTGTTTTCCAATACTGTTTGTGGTATAAACTTGTAGTATGGTTCAAGCATGTCTACCAATTTGTGTTTAATTTGATTATATCAGTTATAACTACATAGGTTAAACTGTTATACGTTTCATAAATTATATCTATGTAATTTCAATGTTAATTCTTTTTAACATTAGACACAGCAAAATCTATATTTTTCTAATTTCAACTACAAAGCAATAGAAGTTTTTCATATTTGAGGTGGAGTATTAGCAAAGCCTTTTCTATGTAGTTTACAGAATTGCATTTGTTCTCAAAATCTGTTTGATCAATTTTGATAAAACTTTTCTATTTTTCCATTAATGACTATGAAGAATCAAAAAGTGAAATATAAAATTGGGGTCCATGACTTTGTTTTCGAGATTTAGGGTCCTAACAAGTGTGTGTGACAAAGTGATATTGCATGATGTCTCAAGTTTGCAAGCATGTCTTCTATGTTGCTTATAGAATTGAGTTCATTCTGAAAATTTGATGGGCCAATTTTGATAAAACTTTGCCATTTTATATTGACTGCAATGAAGAATTCAGAAGTGCAATAAATGTAAATGTAGAAATAAGGGTTCATGCATTCATTCTCAATATAAAGTTGGGTCAAAGTGATAACATCCGTGCTGTTTGAGCACACCTAACAGAATTTAGGGGTTAAAGATAAATAAAAATAAAACAGCATTGCATGCACCTAACAAAAAACAAACTCAAAAAATGAACAGAACACAAGAACAAAGCAATTGGCATCAATTGATTTAGTTTTAGGCTTATTCATATACCTCACTGCAACATGTGGCCAATCTGCCAAGGAAGGAATGCCTCTCAGGAGATCTTTTATGGAAAAATGGTCCTTATTTAAGTGTTACTAACAAGAAGAAAATATGGAAAACTCCACATAGCCAGTCCATTGGCCAGGCGTGAAAGCAGTGCAAGCATCTCCAGTAGCTGGCAGAGTAAGAGGATCTCCTCTCTTGTGATTGGCAGTTGCAAAGATAACCTCTTTCATGGCAGCAAGTGCAAAGTTCACCTGTCCACGACTGTCAGGTATAAGGATCACCTTTTTTGTGTGTAACAAGTGCAAGGATCACTTCTTTCCAGCTCTACCTCATTTCTATTGCAATACAACAAAGTCACATGATGTCTAGTACTATAATTATTAAAATTTTAAAAATTTAACTTTGACATCTATTGCAGTCAAAAGCTTTTATTATTTTATAATTATAAACCATCAAATATAAATCATATAAATTTCATTTAGTTATATGTAAAAAACAACACTCACTAGTTATTCAGAAATATTAACAAAATTCAACAGATAAATAAATGAAATTTATATATAAGATAAGAAAACTCACTCTGATATTATTCAGATTCCAACATATTTCCTTTATATTGACTGTGCGTTCAAACGTTACCCAACCTCTCCTGAAAAACCGTCTCTCTGGTTGTGGATCTGCAATTGCAACTCTCAGAAAACCAGAATATCGTTTACACATCTGTAAAGTAATACAAATTAAGTAATTATTTGAATATATGTAGAAAAATTATCCATAAAAAAAAAAAATATTCACAGCTTCCACTTCTTGTTTAGTGATGGAAGGTGCAAGATTTCTTAAAAATATTGAACAGGTCTTGTGAAGAGGTCGAGGTTTTTGAACAGAATCTTCAGCAATAACTTCTTTATCCTGCTCTGTAGTTTCTATATTTTTGTTATCTTTTTCTTCAAATATATCTAAATTTAAATTGTAAAACTTAATTTAAAATAATAATAATAATAATAATAAAGCAAACAAAATATATACTTATTAAATACTCAAATTAAAAACAGCTAAAAATAATTAATACGTTAAAATAATTCTGAATACCGTTTTCATCATCAATAGTATTTAATATATTTCTTAAGCAACAATTACAGAACTATTTTATTAAAATTATTTGAATTAAACATTTTATTGCATAAAAGATTATTTATTTTAATGTATTTTTAATAAGTACAGTGAAACCTCATTAATATGAACCTTAATAATTCAGACAACCACTCTAAAAAAAAAAATTTTTTTTTCCTTCTGTGGGAGTGGTTGTCTAAGATAAAGTCTGCAGATGAAGTGAAGGCCATAATCATATTCAATAATGCTCAATGAATTTGAACATTATCAAGTAAGAAGCTTCCTAACAATGCTGCTAACTGCTGAAAAGCTTTCTAGCAACGATAGGCAAAATAAGTGCATTTATCTGTCAGTAAAATATCACTTCTCTCAATCAATCTATGGAATAAGGTGTCACATACACAGCCAAAAAAAAACCTGTATAATCCTGAAGGTTGAAGATCCAACCAATGGAGAAAAAAGACCAGAGAGAGAGAGAGTTTTTGAGAGTATGTCTTTCTAGAACTTAAAAATGAAATTGAGGTACATACATAATCATCAGTTTTTAAGATGTTATAAGAGATACTAAATTTTTAACACTGACAAAATCCTGAAAGAAACTTTTATTGAATGAGAGATATTATATACCACACACAATTGAACACGTGAAACAGGATTTTTATGGAGCGCTATGTCAAAGTAGAGAAACAGGAAGTTACATTAGAGGATGTTTATATGCATGACTAGAAGCTAATTAAAATAATCCAGGTTATCAGTTGACATAAGATATTTAGACATGATGCGATGAGAATGCTGATTTCTGATACAAAGTGAAAGAAAATAATAGCAATTTGCAAAAAATGAAGCTGAGTAAAATGAAAGAACACTTGAACTACGTAATTAAGTTTGTAGAGAAAACTGAAAATAAAAATATATTTCAAAACTATGACCATTTGTGATACTTTTGCAAATTATTGGTCAAAAGCACCTCAACAAAAGGTATAATGAAGTGATGGAGGTTGACACAGATCCAATTAGAATGATATTAACTGAGTTATATCTTATTTATATTATTTACACTACAGTAAAACTGGTTTCACTATATGTTGTTTTTGCTTACTTTATAGCAAAACACATCAAGTTTTATATCAAACAGTCATTTTGGTTTAATGTGAGTGTCATTGGTGATATGACAGACATCCTATCTGAATTAAATTTCTTGTCAAACTTGAGTTAACATATGTTTTATAAATAACTGCAACAAAGATTCAAGTTTTGAGTCAGTGAGATTTGCAGGCAAGGATAGAATAAACATTAGCTCTTTAATGAAATCCTATAATACAGTAGACCCCTATAAGACGGGTTCCTATAATTACGATTCCTATAAGACGGCGAAAAAATTGCGACGGTATCCATAAAAAACGGTAAAAAAACTCCTATAATTACATAAAACGTCATCAGGCAGCCGAACTACTTTCCGCTGTCCAGCGCCACTCTACGGAGAGATTACTATCATCTGTACAGTATTATATATAAATTAGGTACTGTACATATAATTATATATTAATTTAATTTATTGTAACTTTATTATAATTATATATATACTTTCCGCCGTCTAGCGCCACGCTACGGAGAGTTTAGCCAAGTAAGATGTTTACTATCGTCTGTACAGTATGTAAATTAGGTACCGTAACTCTAATACAGTACTGTAATTTTATACGTTTCTTGTGAAAGAAACATTTCTTATTCAATGGCCATAAAAATTATTTATATTAATGATGTCTCCAAAGTTCAACGAAGTTTTCGCAGAAAAATAAGTTATCAGAAATCGGCCACAGTTTGGTGTGCTGCTCCGCGACGAAAACAAGCTTGAGCAATGGCGATGTCGAATGGTGCACACTCCGTAAGTGATCCTACAATTTTTTGTTTATAACGTAGTTTATACGGATTATTCCCAAAAAAAATATACGTATTTTGGAAATGTTGAGTTGGATTAGTCTAGAATTGATTAATTTTATGGAAGAAAACCTTTCAAACAGCCGTAGTCTGCAAACTTCACATGTGTCAGGCTGTGATTGGCAAGGACTCGTAAGAAATCGATTCATAAAGAACGGAACGTATCTACCGTCTTCAAATTTCTGCAATTTGCTTAAATGTTACCCAGGTAATATATTTGTCAAGAAGAACCAATCCACAACCCACAATAACATCACTACCTTGTTATCCAGATTTAGTGCCTCTTGATTTTCTTCTGATGTTTCATTAAAGATCTAGTGTTTATTCCATCCTTGCCTGCTAATCATTCTTATTTCCAAAACTGAAGTTACAGTTGCTATTACTAATTGACAACAGATATGCTGCTGAGTTTGGCAAGAATTTTAATTTAGATGTGATCTCTGCCTTAATATCCTATGTTAATTAGTACATTAAATATTATCCTAATAAATAAATATAGAATAGTTCATTTTATCTTATATTTGTAATAGCTATAACTGAATCACTATTATTAAATATAAAAAACTTTTATACAAACATTAGCATTTTGTTGCTAATATTTCAAATTATTACTCTAAAAATCTGATAGAACAGTTACAACACAAAATATTTTAAAAAGACATTAATATAAACATTTGACTAATGATCTTTACTAATAAGCATTTTGTATATATATTACTATTAAATTAAAAAAAATGACAAAAACTATAATAATCCGATATATTTTTTATTATACAGTATAAGGAAATATTATGATAATATGAAATTTTCAACTTATTACATTTAAAAAAAAGAACAACATTGTATAATCTAAATTTGAAAGAAATTAATTTACTATTTTCTTTCTTCTTCATTTCAGTATCTTCATTTTCCTGTTTTTCTTCTACAGGTGCATCATCATCATCCTTTTCAATACTGCCTTCCTGTTCTGTTCGTGAATCTTCTTTATGTTTCTTTTTCTTTTTTCTTTTTTTTACATCTGAAGCATCATCTCCAAGAACGACAGATTCACATTCCTCCTCTAAAATTTTAAAAGTATTTTATTGCTTATATTAATTAATATTCTCAATAACAAATTATATCAAATACTAAAGTATTTTTAAATTTTAATTAATTCATCAGCAATCATGTACAGAAATAAATTTCCATATACACAAATGTAGACAAAAAACATTGCCTCAAGCTACATTATGCTTCTGCTATGTATTTACTAAATACAAGTACACAACAGTAATTTAAACTAAAACTGTTTGATTATAGTCTATAATGCTCAGACTGATATTCCATTTCAAGGATTTTCTGCAACTGAAACTAGCCTCAAAATATCAAAAACACTTTTACATACAATAAAATATTTGGCACCTGAAAAAGTAGTGTGGATTTCTATTTTTATTATAATTGCATACATTTTGTTATTACAATAAAAGTCTTGAAACTGCTCAAAACATAAAAATATAATTTTTTACTTTTAAATTCTTTAAAATTAAAAATAATTTCTCACCAGCAGCAGCAGCAGCAGGTTCTAATTCACTCTCTGAATCAGCAGAACTGTCATCATTTTCATCATAGCTATAATCTCTTGATCGTTTACGGCGAGGTTCAATCTTTTCTTCTGGTTCCTAAATCAAATGAAAATTCTGAAATAAATACTAGCAAATATATTGTTTAAAATCAGAAATTAAATTTACATTTATATATAATTCCATCTAGAAATTACAAAAATTGAAAAAGTATTAAAGATAACTTGCTTTTTAGTATACATTAATATCATCTAAATTTGCATAAATTATAATAGTTCTGATTTCTTGCAATAAATTATTCACATTTCTATTTCTATTATTTTAAATGAAAAGAAGTTTATACAATTACTTTGATTACACCTTCCAATGAGATATCTAATTTCATATTCAATAATGAAGCAGCTTATTAAGTTAAAATGATTAAATTATTAAATCAGAAATGCAGATATCAATAACTAATTATTGATACAGGCATACCTCAATCAACAAAGAAGATGCATTCCACAAAATTATTGTTAAGCAAAACTTTGTTCTCAGAGGTAAAAAATACTATGGCCATAATAGGAATATGTTCTTATGTAAAGAAAATGAGACTTCTTGAAAACAGAAAAGCTTCATTTTTTTTTTTTGGAATGTGATATTGACTTTTTATCTAATATATATATATAAAATCATGACATTTTAAAATAGGAATCTAAAGTTGATTGTTTATGCTTATTTTTCTCTTTCATTTAACAATTATCTGTATAGATTTGTTGCAATTAACACTGATTACTTAACAATAACTCTTTGCCTAAATCATGATCATTTTCAATGTCATTAAAACATCTTTGGTTACTAACACTTTTTCAGTAGGGACTTCTTTAATTTTGTCCTCCTTTTTGCTTCATTGTTAACAAATTTTTCCAGATCTTCCATTGAAAAACTATTTTTTGCATTTAATAAATTTCATACATCCTCTTTGTCCACATTTTTTAAACCTAGTTATTGAGCCATCTTCATTTATAATCTATTAAATGTTATTTTCCTCTTATAGTACAATTTATTCTTTTCTTCATACCTCATTTATTGCAGTACATCACACTGAAACAACCCTTACAAAGTGTAAGTAATAACTAAATTACTCTGATGATGCACAAAACTGTTAACACGCATATACACCTATAACTTGAAATACATGACGAGTTATCATTGTTTGGCAACTGGATGACTTCCATGTGTTGATTTTGAAATTTTAATATTTTTACATTAAATAAGCTGGAAATTATGTACTTCAATTATATCAAGGCTTTGTTACCAGAAATAATGTTAACTGAGCTATGACTGCATATATTTTTACTATAAGATAAATCATTAAATTTTGTGAATATATTTATAAATCGTTTTTTCTCAATTCTAATGTGCCATCAAATCTAATGCACATCCAATTTTTGAAATGAATGTTAAAACTTGAAAAAGGTTAGCTTGGGAATGTAATATGCATCCTGTATTGAAGAAGCAAATGCAAAAAGTTAATGTATTCACACAGTAATAAATACATTTTTTAAATATAAAATAAATTATGAATTTTCATATTTTCAATGCAAAAAAATATTTAATAAATACCTAACTAATTTGGCTGAATGATTAACTAAACAAAAATTTTCTAACATAGATATCATGTTGGGATTTTTTAATGTCAACAGAAAAGTTGTATATAATGAAATGAGATGAATAGAGAAATCTATTACAGGAATCAAGATAATCAACTGTAATTTGTCTCTGTCATTATTTTTTAACTGAAACAATATCAATTATATGGTAAAACCAATTTTATTATAAATCATTAAAATTTCTTTCAAAATTTGTATTTTGTGCAATATGTGTTATGTGCTATTTCTGACTTTTGGAAAATGAAATTTGAAAAAATGTTCATCTCATATTCAGAAAAAAACAGTATATCTGAAAGAAATGCTAATACATTTTTTATTTAAAAATTACATCTTATATTTAAAACCTTATAATAATATATGATATAAAAAAACTATTTTCTTGATTTTAATGTGCACCATATTTTTGGTCTCAAAAATTGGGGTTTGCATTAGAATCAAAGCAACTTAATGCAGTCTCTTTTGCATCATTTGCTCTTCACACTGCTCAGTTATTTGCATATATTAGAATATCAGCATAGATATGGTATTCTCACTACTTTGGTTNTCTCTGTCATTATGATTTTTTAACTGAAACAATATCAATTATATGGTAAAACCAATTTTATTATAAATCATTAAAATTTCTTTCAAAATTTGTATGTTGTGCAATATGTGTTATGTGCTATTTCTGACTTTTGGAAAATGAAATTTGAAAAAATGTTCATCTCATATTCAGAAAAAAACAGTATATCTGAAAGAAATGCTAATACATTTTTTATTTAAAAATTACATCTTATTAGCAGATCTCCATTAGTTTCACCCCGTGCCTCACCACAATCTACTCGTAGACCACCTATTTCTGGGCCTCCTCCTGTTCCTCCACGGCGAGCATCTCCAACAAATACTCCTGGGTTATCACCTGGTACTTCTCCAAGGTAATATGATTACGTGTAGANCATATCAATTTATATGTCAGAAGAGGGACGTAATAAAATACATTAAAAAATATTGAATCGATCTAAAAGTTTATATCTGAGTTATAAACTTATAGAATTATTAGTCTATAAAATTTTTGAAATAACCAAGAAGATATTAAATCCTGTTTATTCATTTATCTTACATTCCGAATGTGTCATTTTTTCGCTTTAAACTAACCTAACCATGATATAAAAAAACTATTTGAAACTTCTAAAAAATATACTTTCACTTCTATATTAAATATCATTTTGAAAACAGCTCTAGAAGTTTTATATTCATTTATCTTACATTCCGAATGTGTCATTTTTTCGCTTTAAACTAACCTAACCATGATATAAAAAAACTATTTTCTTGATTTTAATGTGCACCATATTTTTGGTCTCAAAAATTGGGGTTTGCATTAGAATCAAAGCAACTTAATGCAGTCTCTTTTGCATCATTTGCTCTTCACACTGCTCAGTTATTTGCATATATTAGAATATCAGCATAGATATGGTATTCTCACTACTTTGGTTTTAATTATGGAATGGTTGAGTGGGCTTTTGAAGTACAACAAGCTGAGTGAACTTCAGAAAATAAATATTCTATAAAGTTGTATTTAAGCAGAAAGTTATCCACTGTGATGAAGGATATACAGATATGTCATACTATGTATCTGGTAAATTCAACTTGTGCATACTGACATGCAATTTTGCTGTTAAAATGTTGGTTTTACAGTAATTTTGCCTATGATTTTGTATTGGTTTACAGATTTGTAAATCAACACAAAATATCTTGATAATGGAGTCATAAATAAATACATTCAAAAATATAGACATGATAAAGCAGAAATTTTTATGCAGATAAAATAAAATGCCTTTTTTAAATGTCTATAAATTTTTCAGTAAACAATATGTGAATACATGGTATAAATATTTATGATTCCATTAGTCGGAGACATCAACTACTTTTATTCTTTAACCAATAACAGTAAATGCTTTGAATAATTCAAAATTAATCAATTTAAATCTATGAAGTGTTTTTTAACACAGCTTTATGNTATAGTACAATTTATTCTTTTCTTCATACCTCATTTATTGCAGTACATCACACTGAAACAACCCTTACAAAGTGTAAGTAATAACTAAATTACTCTGATGATGCACAAAACTGTTAACACGCATATACACCTATAACTTGAAATACATGACGAGTTATCATTGTTTGGCAACTGGATGACTTCCATGTGTTGATTTTGAAATTTTAATATTTTTACATTAAATAAGCTGGAAATTATGTACTTCAATTATATCAAGGCTTTGTTACCAGAAATAATGTTAACTGAGCTATGACTGCATATATTTTTACTATAAGATAAATCATTAAATTTTGTGAATATATTTATAAATCGTTTTTTCTCAATTCTAATGTGCCATCAAATCTAATGCACATCCAATTTTTGAAATGAATGTTAAAACTTGAAAAAGGTTAGCTTGGGAATGTAATATGCATCCTGTATTGAAGAAGCAAATGCAAAAAGTTAATGTATTCACACAGTAATAAATACATTTTTTAAATATAAAATAAATTATGAATTTTCATATTTTCAATGCAAAAAAATATTTAATAAATACCTAACTAATTTGGCTGAATGATTAACTAAACAAAAATTTTCTAACATAGATATCATGTTGGGATTTTTTAATGTCAACAGAAAAGTTGTATATAATGAAATGAGATGAATAGAGAAATCTATTACAGGAATCAAGATAATCAACTGTAATTTGTCTCTGTCATTATTTTTTAACTGAAACAATATCAATTATATGGTAAAACCAATTTTATTATAAATCATTAAAATTTCTTTCAAAATTTGTATTTTGTGCAATATGTGTTATGTGCTATTTCTGACTTTTGGAAAATGAAATTTGAAAAAATGTTCATCTCATATTCAGAAAAAAACAGTATATCTGAAAGAAATGCTAATACATTTTTTATTTAAAAATTACATCTTATATTTAAAACCTTATAATAATATATGATATAAAAAAACTATTTTCTTGATTTTAATGTGCACCATATTTTTGGTCTCAAAAATTGGGGTTTGCATTAGAATCAAAGCAACTTAATGCAGTCTCTTTTGCATCATTTGCTCTTCACACTGCTCAGTTATTTGCATATATTAGAATATCAGCATAGATATGGTATTCTCACTACTTTGGTTTTAATTATGGAATGGTTGAGTGGGCTTTTGAAGTACAACAAGCTGAGTGAACTTCAGAAAATAAATATTCTATAAAGTTGTATTTAAGCAGAAAGTTATCCACTGTGATGAAGGATATACAGATATGTCATACTATGTATCTGGTAAATTCAACTTGTGCATACTGACATGCAATTTTGCTGTTAAAATGTTGGTTTTACAGTAATTTTGCCTATGATTTTGTATTGGTTTACAGATTTGTAAATCAACACAAAATATCTTGATAATGGAGTCATAAATAAATACATTCAAAAATATAGACATGATAAAGCAGAAATTTTTATGCAGATAAAATAAAATGCCTTTTTTAAATGTCTATAAATTTTTTCAGTAAACAATATGTGAATACATGGTATAAATATTTATGATTCCATTAGTCGGAGACATCAACTACTTTTATTCTTTAACCAATAACAGTAAATGCTTTGAATAATTCAAAATTAATCAATTTAAATCTATGAAGTGTTTTTTAATAACACAGCTTTATGTACTTTTATTAATTTACACAAAAAGAATCTTGGAATATTTTAATTATAAAATTATAATAAATTTAAATAATTTTGTTTATATATATATATATATGTCTATTGACTGCTGCTTTTTTTAAACAAATGACTGATATGCGAGATTATATTTGTGATATTATTATTATTATTATTATTATTCAAATTTAAGTTACATATTTTGTTAAAAAGTTAAAAAACTGTAAATTTAATAAATCAATAAAATTCATAAAAATCAAATGGTTTTTGTTATCTTACAGTTAATTAGTACAAAATTTTCATGAACACAAGGAAACTTCTTTTGAAAAATGTATTTTTACTAAATGCATTAATATAATAAGAATTAATTACTTTTACTATTGGTTTTTCTTCAGTTTCATCTTCATCCTCTTCATCATCTTTGTTTGATTTTTTATCATCCCTTAAAATATAATTTAAAGATTTAAAAACATTGTACAAGTGAAATGAAATATTGATTTGAAAATAATAATTTACTTTTTAATTAAAGGAAGTGTTTCCATTTCTTTAGGTTTTTCCTCTTCATAAGGCTCATCTAAAACCCTGAGATCATTATCAGTACCACCTTCTAGTTTTATAACAACTAAATAAAAATTATAGAGTAATTATAAAATTAATAATTTTTTATTAATCAATATGTATTTTAATTAAAATACAATATTGCTAAAAATCATCCATTAAAAATGAAATGTCATGAATTTATTATTTATATTTTTATAACATTAAAATATAAAAATATTCATAATAAATCCATCAAAATAAACTACAGCTATTATTTATCCCATATTTTAAAAGCCTTTCTTTATTCCAATGTAAATATTTTAAAATAATATCAAATTTCTCATCTTATAAGTATAGTCAAATTATATGATCTGAATAGCATATTTATTTGACTGGTACATGAAATAGTAAGTTTGTCAAAATTGCTTTAATAATCTCTAAAATTTTAAACCACAGAAATAATTACCATTTACATATAATTTACAATATGAATCATCTTATAAACACACTATATCATACATCAATTTCTTATAAAAGGATTTCTGACAAATGAATTCCTAGCAGTTAACTATAATTATACAGAAAAAATTTATTGAAAACTCTTTTTGTTAGACTGCTTATGGCACAACAACAATCTAATTTATATCATTCATTGCTTTTTGCCCTTTAGCTATATTAACTTTTTGTGATAACCTCATCAGTTACCTGATAAGCCCTAAAATTTAAGTAACTGGTTAGGTTATCCCAAAAAGTTAATCTAATTTATATATCTAAGTGATACCTTTAACACTACTAAACAACTGCTATAAAGGAAATTTGAATCAAAAATCAAATATGTAGAAATACAGAATATTTATATTTACTTTTATATTTATGTTTATAAAATAAGAATTTCATTCTCTTTTTATTTGAAACAAGATAAAAAATTTGATTTTATACATTATTTATGCAGATATAACACAAATGCAGGTTCATAAAGCCAATTTAATGTTTTAACTTTTGCTCTTTCTTCTTTTATGTATGTACAGTACCTAGAGACAAAATTGTTTTTACCCCTCAGGCTTTGAGGGGAATTTGTACAGCAAAACCAGTCAAACAACTTTTCCTTTGGCAATTTCATCTCAAATGAATTAAAGCAATTTTGGTCAATCTTGTATTTAAAGAGTTAAAACTAGTATAATCCTTAGGTGAACACGCCCTGTAAAGATACAGTCTTTTGTTTGATGTTGTACTTAATTATTGCAGAAGTATGTCATAGTATTCTCTCTTCATGTTACACGTTACAACATGTTTATGAAATCGAGTCAGTTATACTAACCATTTAGTTGTTACTTGTCTCTGAATCAAGTCATACCTCATTTGCATTGTAACTGCCGCTACACACCCTGCCATGTAAGTAAAATATCAGTATACTTTTATATTTATGTTTTTAATTTTTTTAATAAAGTAGGTCAATATTTGCAAGTTTATTAAATAAATATATTAAATTAACAATGTTGTGAGTTTCTATAAATTTTTAAATTTATATTAGTCTATATTTTTGGAAAAATACAAGGAAAACGAAGAGCCATCCAAAGTAGTAGCAAAAACCTAGAATTTGTTTTATTTGCGGCATACACAAAAACAATAGGAAAAAATCAATTTGTCAAGAATGGGTAGAAATGTTTACAAAAAGCATAGTAATATAGTGATTATATGTGCCATGTGTGAAGGTGAACATCACATGAATATAGAGTAACTTTTTTTTATTATCTAAATACTTTATAACCAAATTTGTTTATTAAAATGTTGTGAAATTAATTTTCTGGTATATCTGATTCATATTTTCAAAACAATAAATAATTATTGACTTAAATCAAGTAATATTACATATGTGGTATTACATAATATGTAATTGCCGCAATGCGCCTTCTCGTGAGCTCCTGAAGAGCATGTTCACCAAAGGGTTAAATAAGTAGAAATAAATAAAGTTAAATAATAAATTATTAACTAAATAAGTTATATAAAATAATTACATTCACTAATTATTTGAGTATTGAAGTATTTGAATATTCAAGATCTGGTTAATATTTGAATCTGTGAAAAGTGATATTTACCCATCCCTAGTTTTAATAGAAACAATAGGTTTATCTTTTCAATTTTTCTTATTTATTTTTTTTTATGTTATTTATATTTTCAAATGATCAAAAGAATATATAATCATTAAAGAAAAAAAAATGTATGCAGCAGGAGATTTTCTAAAAACAGAATTTCGTTGTCAAGTATGAAACTAAAAATTGATTATTTTTAGTATTATATATAAACATATAGAATTATTTATATTTAATTATATTCATACTAAATATTTTTGTAGATATTCACCTTANTATTCACATCTATTTCAATAAATAAATGCCATTATGATTAATTTAATATTGCTACTATAGTCTAAACAGTCATTTAAATTAATTTGATGAATTCTAAGTTGAATGTTTTCAACAAAACTATTAACTTTTAGTAAACTCCAATACTTAAAATTTTATTTTGAGAGCAATTTGAATTAGAATAATCCAGCCATTTGTGACAGAAATATCAAAAAATACATACAGTAATATGAAAAGGTTTTTCAACAAGAGATTTAGAGGTACAGTATAAGTATTAATTATGAATTTTCAAAAGTAATTTAAGAACTTTAAAAAAGATTTCAATTTATCATATTTATCAAATAGTGAAGATCTATGGAAAGCAATTTTTGTTTCTTGTAAAAAAAATATATTAATTTTTACAGTTATTCTACCCAAATCTCTGACCAATTTCTCCAAAACTATTAAAAATTTGGATATAACCATACTGATTACTCAGCACTGACTGGGAATAACTTAAGCATCCACTTAATAGGCCTTCAATGGCATTCAGAAATGATGCATTACATCAATCTAATTTTTTCTAATGTATAATTATGTAATTTTTTATTGCTTGAAAAACATTGTTACTAAAATGTTTTAAACATAAAATAAATTATATATAAATAATAATCTCATTATTTTGAAATAATACTTTGCATAGTAATATAGTGATTATATGTGCTATGTGTAAAGGTGAACATCACATGGAAATAGAGTGACTTCTTTTTATTATCTAAATATTTTATAACCAATTTGTTCATTAAAATGTCGTAAAATTAATTTTCTGGTATATCTGATTCATATTTTCAAAGCAATAATTAATTATTGACTTAAATCAAGTAATATTACACATGTGGTGTAACTGCTGAGATGCACCCTCTTGTGAGCTCCTGAAAACTATATTCACTGAAGGGATAAAGGAATTTGTTATATTTAATTAAAAAACAAAAAAAGCAAGAATTGTATTTATATTCTAAAAATGAAGATGTAATCTTCTAAAGTATTTAACTTGTCAATAAATATTTGACTTCTAAAAATATGGAATAAAATAACAGTAAAATTGTTATATTGATTATCTTCTTTTTAAATACAATATTTATAAAATAATTAGAAAAAACAAAATCTTTATCAAGTAAATATTAATTTTCAACAAAACAAAATAAATGCATGCAATCTGTCAGATATATAAAAAATTTATAAGGAAAAAAAATGCATTTTATTCAGAAAAGTTATTACAAATATTCAAGAAATGTTTTATCTAAGCAAAACAATTTTATATCAGATATTTACCTGCATCTAACAAATGGACAATTTGATCTGATTTCTCAACATCTATGCTCACAGCATCAATAGTGTCTTTATCTAATAACTCTAAAAACACATCAAGCCTTTTCTTTAAAGCGGCCACTTGATCAGCTCGTCTTTTCCCACATTCTTCGGGATGATATTTTGATTTAAACCTTTAAATTTGAAAGATATATTAAACAAACTAAGAAATAACAAATATTATAATACATATTCAATTAAGGGATGATCAAAAATTTTAAAAACCACCATATCTTCATGTAATCAAAGGATGTGAATGTTAATTCCATTTGGAATTTAATACATTTTCCTATTTAATTTTAATTTCTTTTATGAAATGGACAATGGTTTAAAACTTACAGCTTTCGTAAACTTTTGGTATGTGTAATATTTGTATATTAGTAAAATAACTACATTTTAAAATAAAACTATGCTGTATCTTAAATCCAAAAAGATTTTATTAATACCTATATACGTACATACTTTTTTTGTAATAAATAAATTCAAATCTCTGATATTCCAACAACTCTGAAAATATAGTCATTAGCATATTTATTATTCCATTACAAAAATTTGTTTAAATATTTTTTTATAATAATAATTTTAAAAAAGAATAGAATAGAATTATTATCCAGTATTAATTCTATTCTATTCTAAATATATAGTAGTAATAGTAACTGACTTTTTTAAAACCTACTCATAACATATAATTATATAAAAAATAACCTGTTAATTTAATGTCAACATTTTATAGAAAATAAAACATTAAATTCTCTTTTATAAAATAGTTGACATACACTAAATTTTAAATTTAGTGTATGTCAACAATTTATATTAATAAAATAAAAATCAATTATCAATTTTTCCAGTATTTTTCTAAGACTATTCGGATTACTTTCCATAAATCTTTAAAACCTTTAAGTAGAGCAAAATCAATGCTGTGTTTGCTACATTTACAAATTTTATAAAAACAAATAGTGATCAAGGATCATACTTAATCATTCAATTGATCATTAATCAATCATTTGGTTACATTCCCATTCAATTTGAAGAAACTGAATTAAGAACTCAGCAAATTTTCCTTTATATGTCTCAATTATTGATTATATATTTAAATCCCTTAATTATTAAAGTTATAACACTTTCAATATAATATATTCTTAAAACATAATAAGAAATAGCAATATTTCTCATATTTTTTCAAATTTTATATTCACATCTATTTCAATAAATAAATGCCATTATGATTAATTTAATATTGCTACTATAGTCTAAACAGTCATTTAAATTAATTTGATGAATTCTAAGTTGAATGTTTTCAACAAAACTATTAACTTTTAGTAAACTCCAATACTTAAAATTTTATTTTGAGAGCAATTTGAATTAGAATAATCCAGCCATTTGTGACAGAAATATCAAAAAATACATACAGTAATATGAAAAGGTTTTTCAACAAGAGATTTAGAGGTACAGTATAAGTATTAATTATGAATTTTCAAAAGTAATTTAAGAACTTTAAAAAAGATTTCAATTTATCATATTTATCAAATAGTGAAGATCTATGGAAAGCAATTTTTGTTTCTTGTAAAAAAAATATATTAATTTTTACAGTTATTCTACCCAAATCTCTGACCAATTTCTCCAAAACTATTAAAAATTTGGATATAACCATACTGATTACTCAGCACTGACTGGGAATAACTTAAGCATCCACTTAATAGGCCTTCAATGGCATTCAGAAATGATGCATTACATCAATCTAATTTTTTCTAATGTATAATTATGTAATTTTTTATTGCTTGAAAAACATTGTTACTAAAATGTTTTAAACATAAAATAAATTATATATAAATAATAATCTCATTATTTTGAAATAATACTTTAAAATTTGTTAAAAGATTAAATTTTTAAAAACTTTCTTTATACAGTATGTTTCTAATTAGACTGACTGAATTATTCACTTTTAATGTAATATATATTACAACAAAAAGAACAAAATATTTACTAAAATAAAATTTTATAAATTTGACATAATAAAAATAATTTTAAGTTAACGATATTTATCATTTTATTAAACTACATATTATGTATAGCTTTTTATTTAATTATAATTTCACTGCAATAATAAATAATTTTAAACAAATATATAAATTAATGCTAATAATATTAAAATTAATCAAATCATAATTGTAATATTTATTTTTGATCATCCCTTGTGTAAATTATAAATATTTAATTAAATAACCTTAAGAACCTCATCATGGGAACACTAATTTCTCACCTTTTTTTCATGATGTAACACAAGTGGTTGATTCTGTAGTTCGATTTAGCCCTTTGGGCTAACGCGCCTATAGCTAACTAAGTGCACTGTTTGTACTATAACTGCGTTGTGCGCAGTAACCCTAACTAAACAAGTAATATCGAATTGCTTCTTTGTTCAAGAAAGATGAACATGGTAAGCGATAGAATCACATTCTTGTGATATTTCATATGATGATCAAAGAGTCCATTATTTGGTCTTTATAAAGATGTTGAAGAAGACCTGTTACTCAGAAGGAGAGAATCCTTGAGAACAAAGTCAGCACTAGGACTGATTTATCAATTTGATAAATGTATATCTACATAGTGTACATGATTTTTGTCTTAGTGCTGACTCTTTTAAGAGAATAAGAAATAAAATACTGTAGAAAATAAAACAGTAAACTAGGGCTATTGGATATTGTCATCATACAAATCACATTATTATACAAATTGGGCATCCACATAGAAATTCAACTGAAAAGTAAAGTATATGATTTAGATGTTATATATGTATATAAAAAAATTATTTGTAACATTTCACCCTGAAAAGATGATTTTCCTATCTATCTTCTACATGATTTGTAATATGACTTTTCCAGCATACAAATTAAAACATAAAAACTTTGTTATATTTCAAAATGATTTAAAAACTAAAATACAGTAGAAGTTTGTTAATTTGGAATATGTACTGCACATCCTCTGGAAAGTAGCCAATAATCTGGAATTGTCTAATAATAATCCAGCATGCTAGTACAGGTAATATTAACAATGACATCAAGTCTTTAAATACCCAGATGTACGAATAAAGATATCCTGTGAATAAATAAATACCAGCACTAAGCATATTTTCTAATAAATTATTGGATAAAGATATAAATAAAAGTCAATTTGTTACTTGTTATTTGCTGCAAGTTGCATTTACTTGTTATTTTATTGAACATTACAGTTCCAGTTTGTGTGTGTGCCATTTTTGATGGATAAAAATTAAAAAGATATTAAAAAAAAACATCAAATTTGTAATTTAAATGATTTCACATTATTTTCCAGAATGTGTATAAAGAAATGAAACTAAATAAATTATTTTTGTATATATTCACATAAAACAATAAGAAATTGAAAGTCTTGAAGCCTACAATTACTCTCAATCAGGTTTTATGTAGTTATTATATCTGTTTAATTGCTTTTATCTATGGCTTTTGCTTTCATCTTAATGTGAAAATAATGAAAATAATATACCTGGGATGATTTGGATCAGAATTTGATTTCCCAAGAATCTTAAAAAATACAATAAAAAACTTATAAAATTTCCCAATGAAAATGTGTTTATGTTAAAATTATACTGTATTATTATTTTTATGTTTGAATGTGAAATCTTTATCAAAATAATTTTTGCATTAAAAAAAAAACTAGGCTTACTAAAAATTATATCAGTACTAGGAGATTGATGTACAAAATTTCTAAAAACACTCAAAACCTGTAGTCAAAAATTTAGCAATGATTTTTTAGATTAAACAGAAAAATGACCATTTACTGTTCTAATAATAATGTTTAGAAGTATTTTCTTTTCACAACATTATTCATTTATTTTGCCTTTCCTCATTACTAGAAAAAATATTAAAACTCACTTTTTTTGGTTTCATGAGTTTGACTATTCACTGCACAACTTTTAGACATTTTTTTGAAAATATTTGCTCATCAACTAACTTGTTTTCACAAGTTAGCTTTTGTTTTCATCCATACATCTGGGTAAGACTTGACATCATTAAACCTATCCATTCCATGAATAAAAAGTTATTTAAACATGTGGTATGCTAAAAACCATGAGCAAAAACTCAAGACAAAGGAAGGGAATGCAGCAATGGATGTTGCAACAGGAGGTTCACTACTGAATATATCGACTGCTCAGAACAAGAGAGTTACAACTCAAAAATATAGATTTTTCAGGAGAGCCATTTGAAGTTTTCAATTCCAGCTGATAAATCAGGGAATTGTTTAAAATCAATGGAATTTGGTTTGAATGTTAATTATAGTCATTACATTGAGTTGGAATAATAATATTATTTAAATGTATTTTCTCTGTTATATTATTACATATTTTTTGAGTTGCAACAGTTTTGCATTCAAAATGTCATTATTGTTTTCTCAGTTACAACTGTTTGCCATTCTTTTTTACTTAGAACAGCTGTTTGCCATTACATAATAATATACATTTTATATAAAGTTACAGTATTTATTTTAACAGAACAGAAAAATGTAATGTTACATTCTGGTTTTATGAGACCCATGTTGTTCAAACATGACAAACAATAAAAACAAAAGTAAGAAAGTTCACAAAAAATTAACACAGCCATTAAAAAAGTATCACTAATTGTGCTATGGTTTTATCAAGCAAATTAGAGATCAGTCTTTTTCAACACTACTGGAAACTTTCAGAGAATTATAAAATGATGCATGCACGCTTGGAATGACACCACTTTTACACAAGTCCAGCAAATCTTTCTTCTTTCCAGCATCTATCCCTGGTGGTGAAGAATAAGCTGGGTGCAGCATGACTTTGGCAGATCTACCTCTCATTCTTTGTCGAATGTTTAACTTTTCAAAATCCTCTTGCGCATATGAGTGCTTGTAGAAGATGGTATAAGGATCTTGTTTCATGACCTTAATGATCTTAATATTGGGCCAATTCACTAAATTATTATTTTCATTTTTGGAGAAATTGTTTCCCATTTGTTGTGATAAGTCTTTCAAATTGAAGATATCTGCTGTATCTAGTTCAGTCACATTATAAACGCTGCCTTTTTTCTTGGCTAATTTCAGTACTGGTACCCATTGAGCAGGTAGTGTTATTGTCCCA